TTGAATTTTCAAAATTTATAGCATACTTTTCGGCGCAATACGTATACGCAACGTATTCCGCAGCCAGAAAAATTCAAGAGGTGTGCGTGTGTCAGTGTGCGGGTGTTTCTGTGTGAGTGCGAGCATAAGTGGCAAGAAAGTTGAATTTTTATTGAGCAAATTCACGAGTCCCTTAAATATTTGAACACGAGCCAGCAAAAGAAATTGTCAAAGGAGGAGCTCAAAAAAAAGGAAAGAACTCAAGGAGGCATCCTGCATCCGCGTCGCTTTATGACGCACCCAATGCCGTCGTAAAAATCCAACATGCACCGCCAAGCACCTCGAGGTCTTCATCTCGAGCCACCCATCAGTGCCAGGTGCCCCATCCTCGATTCCGGATATCTCCGGTTGCTCGGTTTTGGAACTGCATTAAAGCAAAGTTATGGGTCAGCACATAAATTGGTGGCACTAAACTAAGAAGGGCATTGGATCGGCAGAAAGGGCGCAAGCCATACAAATTTTATTTGAAAGTGGTGTATAGGCTTTGATTTAAGGAGTGAGTTGATTATAAAATAAGCCAGAATATTTTGAAATTTAAAGAATTAAATACAAAAGCTTCAACTTACTTGCATTGGTATTTTTTAGAAATTTACACTTTAAAAGAAAGCAATGTTTTCAAAAATTTATACAAACAAACTCAGGTAAATGTTTTATTATTTTATGATTAATTTATAGTACCAATAATCGTTTTTTATTAAACAACACCCCTAAAATGCTCAAAGTAATCTATTTATTTGAATTTAACTCACATTTTGCTTATATTCTGTTTCATTTTCAATGTAAATAATCACGTCAATGCTCCGAAAAAAACGAGATGTAGACTCAAACCTTGTTGTGGAAAATGCAGCTGACTTCAATGGCACTCAGATAGTTAGATACTCATACTAGTACTCATACTCGTACTCATACTTCCTACAGATAGTCGCTGCAAAGGACACTGCCACCTGAAGTGGAGTGGCGCAAGTGCGTCGTAAATAAATAAGCTGCATGATGCCAATTGATGGGGAGTGGTGCTGAGTGGTTCGGTGGCTCCATAGCTCCAAAGCTCGATGGCCCGGTGGTTCGGTGGTTCCGTGGCTCAGTGGCTCACTAGCCAGTATCCAAGTGAGTGGGCCAAGGACAGTTGCTTCAGGTCCGTAATTAGAATACATTTTGTTTACCAGAAGCTCCAGCTGCGACTGCACAAGTCAGCGCCACAAAATATCCACGTCAATGGGCGTGGAAAAAAGGAGGTGGGCAGAGGGCGGTGGTGGTGGTCAGACGGGGGGCGTGGCAGAGGGCCAAATTAAATTACTTCTAGAGCAGTTGAAAGCAGTCGGGACTTGGAAGGCAACAGGTGGGCAAGCCCAGCAACTCAGCAACCCAGACGTCGCCTTTTTAATATCAGCGAACAAGAGGGCCAAGATTTTCCACACGTTCGCTTTATTTGCAAAAAATGTATAGACTTAAGTGAATTCAAAAGCGGAGGCTTAATAAAAACCTTTCTTATTTATAAATAGGATTATACTGTAACTAATTAAATTAAATATTTATGTATATCCGAAGCTTTGATTTATTTTCAATATTTATGAATATTTCTTTGATTGCTCATAATAAACAAGGTAAAGCTTTTCCTCACCGCTTATGATTGCCTTAAAAATCCTGTACAAATTGATGAAGAGGTCCTGTAATTAGGATGTGACTGGTTGCAACTAGCTGGAATTTGGCATCGTGTTTCTTTTTTCCAAAGGTAACTCTGTATTTATGGTTTCCCCTTGTGTTTCCTGCTTTTCTAGTTGCTGCACAGGCAGAAAACAGTTTATATTTTTAAAATGCACATTTATTTTTCTTTAAGTATTAAAAATATGTGAAATACCTTCTATAAAAATGTTAAAGTAAATGAAAGTAGCTTCAAGGAAATTAGAAGCACAACCTTTGCATTTAAATGTGGTTCTCCAAGCTGCTTTAGCATGTTTTTCCGAGTGAGAAGGTGGTGCACAAATCAGCGGAAATCGAATGCCGTGGTGCAAGGACGAAGCCTTCGGAAGCTGCTCCCCTTTCAGCCATGGCCGAGTCTCAATTTTCCGCAATTACCCTTTTTCTGGGCCCCGTTAACAAGCAGCAATTAGTCAACGCCCGCGCTGCACTCGTTTGAAATGCAAGATGCAACAGGTGTCCTCTCTCCTCACTCCCTCACTCCGCTTTCCGCCTTTCCGCTCGCTTTTCCGACCGGCATTTCCCCTTCCAGCCTTCCCCCGCAATCGCATTCGGGGCTTTTTCCTGGCTCGGCCTGAAAGTGAAAACGGATGCCAAAACCTGTTGACGGCAAGTGGAGCGCTTTTGCCCGGGATGGCTGAGATTGCGGAGCTGTAATTAAGTCCACTGCATTTGTCATTTGTCAGAGGGGCTCCACAAGGACATGGTTAAAATGTCCTGGGTGTCCTTTTGCCGCTCGTACTTCAGCTGTCGCCTGCTCGCCTTTGTTTTCCTGTTTTCTGAATTATTTATGCCGGAGAGGAATATTTTGTACACCACTGCTGCCAGCAGTCCGTTAAAAAAATAAAGAAAAAAATGAAAACAGGAGACAGATTCAGACAAGTGAAAGCAAAGGAAAAGATTAACAAAAAAAAAACAGGAGAAAACGTATAATACTTTTGTTCCTTTCGTATATAATTTAAATGAATTGATTGGCGGATTACATATAATCGTAATTGCCTGCGGTTTTTATTTGAATAAAACACCTTTGCACATTAGCATTAAATCACTTAAATAACAAACTGATTTGCTGTTAGCTTAAACTAAAACATAAAATCACATATATTTCTTGGGCAATTTTCAGATTTTTAATAAAACGTTATAACCTTTTAGGCAATAAATAAAAATGTTGTGGTTTAAGGGGCAATTGATTGTCGGTTTACTGCGAATTTAATGAAGTATGCTGACCAATATATTAAATGGTTTTTATATGAGTGAAAAACTCCGGATTAGGAAATATAGGTTACTTGGTCAGAAAGGATATTGAAGGTAACAAATTTTAATTGTTTCCGAGTAAGGAGTGTGCCAAAGTTTAGCCTTTAAGCGCCCTTCGACTTTACCCGATTTCCCCTTCGCTTTTCCCATTTTCCAGGGACTTGCAACTGCCACTGCGAGCAGTGTCTTTTAATTTACTGTGAAATGAGTTTGCCCAGTGTCAGTAGAAGTAGAATAGAGCGTGGGTGGAGTGGGGGATGGGGAGGGGTAGGGAAAGGGGGTTGGCCAAAGGGGAAAGGGTAACAAGTAACAGTTGCAACATTGGAAGGGCTTGCAGGAAGTCGAGGGCCAGGGATAACTGCAATTGTTGACTTCTTCTAATTGACAGGATGGCAAAGTTTCCAAGAATTATGGCCAACAGCAATGGTGGCAAGGGGGTGGGGATGCGGGCGGAAATGGGGGAAGTGCTTAATTCGACAGTCTCGGAGATTTATAAGTCAAAAAGAACGAGGGGGAAAAGGGTTTTTTGCAGCGAGGAAAACTCTGATGGATGGAAATCGGGGATCAACGACTAGCTGCGGCCCTTTAACATCCAGAGTCCATTGAAATGTTTAAGACTTTAAACCAAAATATTTTTAATACTTTTTAACAATAATCAGAAAATTCTAAAGTGTAATAAAGGGGCTTTAGCAAATATAATATAATCAAATTTATTTAAATGAAATATAATCATTTTAAATTCAAAGCTTTCCGTTTACTGATTATAATTCACACACATTCAAATATACAGTGAAAGAACCCTAAAAAAGAGCCTAAAAGTTACGCACGCACTTTTCTACCCTTTAGCCGTAATTCAATTTGCATCCATTTTTGCATAATGCTGGATTCTTGAATCCCGGGAACTGCTGAACAGGCAGCTAATTGGCAGTTGATTAGCATTCCCAGCTCTTTTCGAGTCCCAAATTGGATCATAACCATAATCCCAATCAGCGTCGGGGTCACGTCGTGTCAACAGTTGATTCGGGTAGGACCGCTAATAAGCCGGGCTTTTTGTTTTACCAATTTCGCGATTTCGGGTGGTGTGAAATCAACAGTCGGCCCAAATCGAGTTATTCAAAAATTTCAAAAATAATTAAATCAACTTTGCATCAACACAGCATCCGGATGCTAGATTCAAAGTGAATATCTTCATGGAATGTAGCTAGCAATAAATCATTTAATATTTACTGTCCTTGAAAGGATTAGCTTTATTTTAAACACCTGGTGATCCTAAAGACTTTTCAAATCAGGTAAGCATTTTTAGATTGTTAAAACGGAAAACAGCAGAGTTATTCTTGAAAAACGCAGTAAACAATAACAGTTATGTTAGGAAAACCGTTTTCCGGTTTAAAAGCACAGAATTTTCAAACTAAACGTTGCACCTCCGCTCGTTTCGAACCAACGGAGGCAACCTTTTAGTTCGAAGGCACTGCAGCGACTCAACCACTGAATCAAGTTTGAATCGCCAAATCGAACCGAACTTGCGTTCGAGCATGTTGTGTTTTGTTCGAGACGATGCACAGTGATTCCTCATTATTATGACTGTTTTAAATTGGGAACTTTATAACTTGCAAACTCAGCCTTTATGATATTTAACATTTTAGCACTTTAGCATTAAAAATAAAACTTTTGATTTAGCATACAAATATATGGAAAATTGTGTACACTTTTTAGTAACTAAAAAGTAGAACTTAAAGTATAAAATGTATTCATGGTGCTTTCAAAATTTTCTATTTACAAAGGGCAATTGAATTAAATTTTAATTAAACAAAAAACATATTGTTGGACAGGTGATAAGGCATTATTAGTAAACTTAACGAAACCATAAGGCATTGATGGGGAGCTTGGGGTGCACATCAACAATGATATTCCCCAAAAGTTACCTTTGGATGCCAACCAATGACCCACTGTGCGTCGCTTGGTTCGCTGCCTTTTGCTTCGATGCGATTCAGTTCCAAATTTCATTCCGAACTTCGAAGTCGCGGGTGGAGGACGTTCGGCGGGAAAACACCAGCAACTCAAAAACTCAGAAACCAAAAATCCAAATAAACTTAAATAACTACAACCAATCTTAGACAAAACAAAACTTAAAAAAAAAAGAAGAACGTGTGATAAGAACAGCAGAAACAACAGCAACAACCAAAGCTTACTTTTGATTTTCGAGCGTGTGTGTTTGGATTTATTTCTTTGCCATATAAATTCGTGCAATCCGAAAACCCAAAAACCATAATAACAACAACTAAAACGTGGTTAAAAAATTCGTTGTTTTTTTGGTTTCACTTTTTTTTACTGTGCGTTCGAGTGTGTGTGTGTGTGTGTATTAGTTTGTTTGCTTTTTAATTAGTTCGACTCTTGTTTTGATTTTTGTCTTTTTTTTTGTGTACGAGATCGCTGTTTTGTGTTTCAGCAGAACAGAAACAACTAAAACCGAAACGAGAGCGAAAACAAGTAAGTGAATAAAATAAGAATTTACATTTGGGAAAAGCGAGAGTCAAGTTCATTTGTTGTTATTTGTTATTGTTATTGTTCGACTTTCAATTTAATTCGGTGCACTCTACAAGTGCGCTGCTGACGTCGACGTCGGCAGCGTTTGGGAGATACAGAAAACTGCAAGCGATCTTCGCGTTCCTCTTCTTCTCGATCTTCTTCCACCGCCGGCAAAGGGAGCACTAGTGAAAGAGACGGGTGTGAGTGAGAAAGAGAAGAAAAGGGAGCACTCAAATTGGGGTCCCGACTTTTTGATACCCGCTACTCACTGTGTTAAAAAAACATTGCATACCTGAAGGCGTTAGCTTGCCACCTTTTTAATGGAGATGTTTTGAAACCATAATATTAAAAGCAAAGTTCTTTCATAAAAGACTGAAACGTGTAGAGTTCATATAATTTTCTGTTATGTTTTGGCTCCACCGCAGTATACCCTTTTATCCAAGAAGTACGGAGTATAAAAAGAGAACGTGAGAGACCCTTTATTATTTTTTGTTTTTGTTGGTTTTATTTCCTCATACCAGGCTTAAAGATCACTTCTCCTCTCTCCTTTGAGTTCTCTCTCTTTCCTCTGCTTGAAAACACAGTTGGCAAAACGACTGCAGCTAAAAATGTATGACTGAAAGCCCATAAACAATTCTTTAAACCACCTACATGTGTTCTTCGCTCCTTTTCCATTTTACCACCCACTAAATGTTACCCAGAAAAAATTAATTTAAAGGTGGTTTAAGGCCTTTTGGGAAGTCCCCTAATTATCAGAAAAAAACAAGAGCGTACCAAGTGAATTTGAAATATTGTTTAAATTGAGAACATATATTACTAAGTATTTGTAGTTTTACTACCAAAATGTAATGAAAACATACATGATAATAATAATCCATTAATTAATACAAGTTTACCATGTGAAGATTGAATTTCACATGTTAGCACCAGTAAACTATGATTAATGGGTGTTAGTTATTCGAAACCTGCTAACTGAATGCCTTTTTGCAGCTTTTTGTTGTCGGTTAACAAATTCTCCCCCTTTTCAATCGCCACCCATAAAATTGTCAAGAGCTTAAGCCAAACCAAAAAAAGGGGGAAGATAAAGTGGGGTTCGATTTCGATACTGTTTTGTTTTTTTGTGATGCTTTTTTGGGGCTGTAGGATTTGGAGTGGTGCTCCTTCATCGATAGCGAAATTGTTTTCGCCAGATGCTCTTGGCCGTCAGTGGGTTAACGGCCAGGAGTTGCGACGATGCAGCAGCATCCAAACAAAAAAGGAAAAGAGGGAAAAGCGTGGCGGGTTTTTCCGGGGAAGTGGGTTATGACCGAGAATTGCTTGCTTGTCTGCGGTGATAACGGGCCACGAGTTCTGGTGGAGAGACCCAAAAACTCCGATCCCCGAAACCCGATGCCCCTTGACCCCACCAACCACCAACCACCAACCACCCACCATCCAGCCCTTCCGGGGCGGTTGAAAATTGCATTCCACGGATGTATCTTTGAAATAAACGTAGATGCCATCGCATTCCCCGGAGCGGAGTGCAGTTAAGCGCAATCTTGTCTAGAATTTCAATACCAAACAAAACGCTTGACGCTTTGACAGCCCCATGAACAGAGATGGGGTTAAGCGGCGGGTTCGGGCTGGGGCTGGGGGCTGCCGGGGGTTAAGCGGCTGTGGTAGGTTCTTAGAAGCAATCTAGACAAGTGGAAATTGTTCAGAGTGATGCAATTGCAGCAGACGTCAAACAGCAAGAGCAACAAACAAAGGCCGCCAAGAGCGGAACTGTAACTTAACATTTTTTTGAGGAGGGAAAAGGGTTAGCTCGTTAAATATGTCATTCCGAATTAGCCATATAAAGAAAATCCCTTTAAGAGCGTTTTCAGCAGGGTAATCGTTAGGTAAAATGAGCATTTATTAATATAATTTTTCTTTTACATAAAAGAGTTTAGAATTCCCCAAATCTTTGTGTTTATTAAAATCATTTACAAGCAACACCTAAAAAGATTTTCTTAGCACTCAACAAATCAAATCGAAAACTTTGCATTGAACAAGCATGAAAACTCATTGAAAATTTATCAAGTGTTGATCAAATATAAATAATATGCAAATAACAACAAATTTCCAGCCATTTTAGCATTGAAAGTGTAGACACGCATCTGGCATTATCCAGATCAAATATTTTGCTTGATTTACTAACCACACATAGAATCCAAAGCATAAACAAAACAGCTTCAATATTCTTAAGACAAGTTTTAGAAGTGACTGTGATTATTGAAGGCATGAAAATCATACGATTCGCCGAGTTGATTTAAAATCGTATCAATCTTTTCTTTGCGAAATCTCTTTCCATAGATATGCAGGCTTATCATTTGTTTTTTCAACAAGAAGGATTGCAATATTCTCTGAAATGGTTTGTTTGCTTTACGATAGCATAAAAGTTAATACATTTTTGATTTATAGAGACAGAAATAAATGTTATAAACCGATTGATAAACGAATTGATATTAATGTTGATACACGATGATATACAAAATATAAGTGGAATCTTAAGTGCAACGCTAATCTGTATAAAATAATAAGTTATTATGAAGTAGGTTATTAAATGACTTAACGCTTTTAAAAGTATGCCAGTTCAACTATTTTTTTTTAGCCAACTGTTTTCCGTTTAAACGATATCTGACTAACACGGGATTTCCCCGCGGCGGATTGTAGTTTTATTGAGGCAAAGTAACCCACTAACGTAAAGTAAGTATGTTTTTTTGCTCACCTGTTTTTCACCTGCCTTGAACGAATTTTCCTCGGCCCCTCGGGGAATCACCGATTGTAACGTTTTTCCCTGCTGGTCTCCGTTGAGTTGCAGTTCATTCAAATGCATTTCCTTGCAGCTGGGTTTTTCCCCAGTTTCTTCTGCTTATGCTCAAAAGAGGAGGAATGGAGTAGGAAGGTTCGCCTCGATTTTCCCAAGCTCTCATGTTGCCTCGAGTTTCGTTTTTCACTTTATTACCGCAGGACATTTGCTACTGCTGCTCGTGCGTTGAGGTCCTTGCCACAAACAAAAACAACTGCCAAAGGAAAACCGGCAGAAACCGAAATAAAATAAAAGCCACCCAAACCGCCCAGTTTTTGAGGTTTTTCCCCTGCATTTTCTGGGCCTTTGAAGGGTCGCTCCCATTTTGACATTCAACTTTTCGTGGCATTGTTGGTCGGCAACAATGGGCCACAATTTGCTGCTTTTATTTATGGAAAATTAAAATTAAAACTGATTAATTAAGCAGCAGCAGCAGCAGCAACAGCAGTGGCAGTGGCAGCGACAAAAACAACAGCAGCCAAATCAAATAAATAAAATAATATACGGCGCTTTTTTTGTCGGTTGGCTTTGCTGAACTTTTGTATGAATTTTTAAATTACTCGTATAAAATTTATGTTTTTCTTTTCAACTCTTGAACACATCGTAGTGGGTTGGTGGGGCGACACAGGGGGGAGGGGGAGGTCCAAAGGGGGAGGGTCGCCAGACCAGTTTCAGTTTTCAGACTTTGTCGTTGAAAATCTCCCGAACAAATTTCCGAAGCGTGAAGAGCGTCAAACGGCAAAAGGCGCCTCAAAAGCAGCTCTCAAAAACCAAAATCAAAACCGAAACAGCTGTTTCAGTCTTCTTTGGAACTCGATGCACTGAAAAGTTATAAATTAATTAAACTAAGTGTTAAAAATATTTATTCTATCTAACACAAAATGCAACAAAACAGTTGTATTAAAAATATTTTTATAAATTGGGTCATTATAACAGAAATATAGAAATTATTTAATAGCAAATACAAGTTCTTGTAAGTAATATAATTTTAATTGGCATCAGTAAAAATATAGTTTTACTACTGAACACATATAACGTTACAAACTGTTTATATTTCCTGTTTGCTCAGTACCTCTTGGCTTAAATTACCTAATTTTTTTTATTTAATGCAACATTGGTTTCACAGTAAGATTTATTCTGTGTGTAAAGTCAACTGACTTGTTGTTGCTACTGTTGATGTTGATGTTGCTGCCGTGTTTGATGTTGCTGTTGCTGTTGCTGCTGTCGTCGCGATCTCAACTCCCGATTAGAGTTGAGCCGAATTAGATGTCTCTTTTTGGCTTGATTGAGACTTGTGTTGAGTTTTTTTCCCTTTGCACATACCCTCTATAAGTCCAAGAGCTATAAACATTACAACTATAAGTTGTCTGCAGAAAAGTATGAAATATTTTTAAAATGTTAATATTGCCTTCAAATAGAAACTTCAAAGATTTTGATTTATGGGAGTAACATTGCTTAATTTTAAAATATTTTTCTAAAGGCTTATAATTATAATATGGAAATCTAATACCCTTCTAATGCCAAACGAGTTTTCTGTCAAGCTTTTAGGGCATTTAAAATGAGGTGTAAGGCGATTAGTTTTCCGATTTTGATTTGTTACTTGGGGTTCGTTCTCAAACTCGAACTCGGACTCTGTCTATCTGAATCGGAATCCGTATCTGTATCGCACTGGCTGTAAATGTATCTGTATCTCTGTAGCTCTGAGCTGTAGCTGTAGCTGTAGCTGTAGATGTATCTGTATCCGTGGCTGTGACGCCAAAGCTGACTCTGAATCCGAATCTGAATCTGAATCTGAGGCTGACTCAAGGTGACGTAATGGCAACGCCTAAAGTGGCTTTTATACGCTCCACCAGATCAAGTATCAATTACAAATAGGCAAAAGTGGTCACTTTGTGGGTCAGGGGGAGTTGGCCAACGAAAAGAAAGGAAATCTCTGGCTAAATTCAGTTGGGAATTGGGATCGGAACGGCGCTAACATCTGAGGTAAACAGCAGACAGACCGAGTGGCACTTGGCCGTACAAAAATATATCTGATTTGTGGGCAACTGCGAACTTTTCTCGCCCCGCTTCAAGTTTTGTTTGAGTATAAATTATATGTGGTGTGCCACTAAAAATAGCCGATCTCATTTGG